CTCCTGGCAAAGCTTAAGCGTACTTGGCTGTGGGCACCGTGCTCTCTGGCATCTCTATAGCTTATTCCTGCTCAACTGAAAGCCTATGGCTGTTGATTAGAACTCCCCACCCTCATCTCTCCCACCTCTAGTAACCACTTCTGCAGCCTTTGATCGTGAGTTTGACTCTTAGGTACGGTGTTGGGGTGTTTGTCCTTCTGTGACGAGCTCGGTTCACTCAGCAGTGTCCTCTGCGTTGTCACACAGGCTGACTGCCCCACTCTGCGCACACACCACACTTGCCCACCCCGAGGTTGGGGGTTTGCGAATCTCGGCTGTTGTGAATACTGCAGTGAGTAGGAGGGCAGATATCTCAGATCCCGGTTTCAGTTTTTAGGATAAAACCCAGAAGTGGGATGGCTGGGTCGGAAGGCAGTCCCTTTGGTGATTTTTGAGGCGCCTCCATACTGTTGGCGGGAGCAGCGGCACTATTTTGCTTTCCCACCGAGTCTGCACGCCCTCACCGGCAGTCGCTGTCCTGTTTTCTAGATACCTGCCATCCTGACAGGTGTGAGACGGTGTCACTGTGGTTTTGATTTGCATTTCTCTGATTTAAAAATAGGCTAAGGTCTTGAATAGACATTTTTTTCAAAGAAGACATGCAAATGGCCAACAGGTCCATGAAACTATTAGATGGTTTTTGACCTGGAATATGAATGTCAGTTCCGTGTGGTTTGGCCTCATACATGCCAATGAGTCCTGTTCCCACTCTCTTCACTCCAGCTCAGTGCTTTCAACAGAACCAGCCCTGTGATCAGCTGCCCTGCCACCCATCAGCCACTAGTTATGGGCTCGCCCCAGTGTCTGCCCTCAGCTGGCCCAGGTGGCTTATCTTCCGGAGCCTTGGCGCCATCCACTCTCCTGTTCCTGGGACTTTGTGTACAGCAGTCCTGCCCTCTCACTCCCAGCCCCAGGGGGGCTTAGCTCATTGTCACTGCTACTCTGGCCTTTAGACTGAGCTGTGCCTGGCACTCCTAGGCCTGCTCCAGCTCTGATGGACTGGCATCCCGCCCCATTCCAGTCCACCCTGGGTACCCACCACACTCACTGAGTCAGCCTCGGGTGTTTGACACCATCTCAGTGGCTTCTCCCTGCAGCCGGAGGTCAGTCCTGCTGCCATGGAGGGCAAGTCGCTGGGCCCACACAGCCACCACAGGGCCGCCTGCCTTCATGCGAATCTAAAGAGCTACTCATGGTGAACCATCCAACTTCTGTTGCCCATCCTTCTCGCTCTTCCCTCCAGGAAGCCCTCTCACTGCAAGAGCTAGCACTCTGTGTGCCCGGTGTGAAGCAGCCACCATGTTCCACTGTCACAGTCTGCCCTAAGCCCACCCTGCCCCTCCCCAATGGGCTATGGGCTCTTGGGACTCCTGTTAATCTCTGTACACCCAGGGCCTCGCTGGCACCTGGCAAAGCTCACAGGCAGGTGATTACTCCTGCCAGGTTCTGCCCAGCTTTATCCACATAATGCTCAAAACCACCCACCTTAGTTACAGCAGCAAGAGCAAGGACCTTATCTAAGGAAATGCAGCTGGCAGGTGGCTTTGTGTGGGTTCACGCACTGTTGAAAACCCTTGTGCACTGTTGCTGGGAATGCAGACTGGTACAGCCATCAAGTAAAATAGTATGGAGATTCCTCAAAAAATTAAAAATAACACTTCTTATGATCCAGCATAAGAATACACTTCTGGATATTTATATGAAGAAAGAGAAAAGACATAGTACACACCCCTATGCTCACTGAAGCATTATTTGCAATAGCCAAGCTGTGGAAACAACCTGAGTGTCCATCAGTAGACAGATACAGAAGAGACAGTGCATACACACAAGGGAATAGGACTCAGTCATAAAAAAGAATGAAATATTGCCATCTGTAATAGGGATGGACCTAGAGGGTATTGTACTGAGTGAAATGTCACATACAGAGACAAATACCATATGATTTCACTAATATGTGGAATCTAAAAAAAAATAAACAAAACAGACTCATAGGTACAGAGAACATATTAATAGCTGCCATCGAGGAAGGGACTTGGGAGAAAAGGTGAAGGCATTAAGATGTACAAATAGCCAGTTATAAAAGCAGTCACAGGGATGTTCATACAGCACAGGGAATATAGTCGATAATATTGTAATAGCTATGTATGGTGTCAGGTGGCTGTAGACTTATGGGTGAGCACTTCATAAGGCATATAAATGTCTAATCACTATGATTTACACCTCGAACTAATATAGTACTGTATGTCAACTATAATTGAAAAATAAAGAAAATTATAAAAAGAAAATACACAGATTAGCACCTAAGCCACCAATGAAATATTTTGCTGTACTTTAAAGTGTTTTAAACCAAAATATTCACAAAGGTTCATTGAGTAAGGACTGTTTAGCAATACAAAGTAAGAAGTAACAATAAGTGCTGTGAAAAAGGAAAGAAGGAGGGAGGGAGGTAAAGGGGGAAGGGAAGAAGGAGGAAGGAAAGAAACATCTGTGCCAGGTAGAATGGCCCCCAAAATGCCTTCACCCTGCTTCCTGGGACCTGTGAATGTGTCCCTTTCTGTGGCAGAGGGGACCCCTCAGCTGTGACTTGGTCTCAGAAGAGGGAGGTTAAACAGGCCCGGTGCAGTCACAGGGTCCCAAGAGGAGGGAAGATCTGGGTTACTACACTGCGGCTTTGGCGATGGAGACAGCCAGTTGGAGGCGACGGAAAAAGTGGGAAAACAGATGCAACCTGACTTCCACCCTGGCAGTCCCATTCTAGGTGTCTGCCCTCCAGGACTGTACATCCTAAGCCACTATGTATGTGGAGGTGTGTCACAGTAGCTGTAGGAGGTCAGAGCTTACAGCCACAGCCCGCCCTCCAGCCCACCCTCGGCCCAGCACACAGGAGCCACTTAAAACACAACCAGATTGTGGGCTCCCCACCGGAGCCTTCAGCTGCACCCTTCACTCCCTGTCCCTCTCAGGGCACTTCCTGCCGACTTCAGGCAGCTTGCCCCTGGAGCTCACAGGGATATTAACATGTCATCTATGTATATAAAAGCCTAAGCACACTGTCTCTTCTTTATCTGCACCCATTGGGTCCCCCAGCCTGGCCTGTACCCTCTAGCAATCTGGGACCCCTCAGGGGATGTTGGACTGCCAGTTTCAGGATTGGGACTGTTAATCTGATATCTCCCAAGAGATGCAGTAGTGCATAAAGTGGCAGGAGGCCAGGGAGGAGCCCAAGTTGGGCGCCACACCACTCAGTCCCAGCCCCATTGTGCCTGCCACTGCTGCTGCTCAGTAGTGCTGCAGTGAAAGCGAGAGAGGCTCATGCAACTGCTGCTGTGCTCACCAGCCATGAGCCCGGCATCTGGAGCCTAATCATCAGCTGAGTGGCACTACCACTGTGGGAGTGCACTGACCACAAGGGGGCAGCTCCTGTGTTGAGTGTCTGCCTCCTGGTGATCAATGCACCTCATAGCAACCTGTCAAATGGTCATTAGGTCGTTCAGTCACTTAGGCTTTTGGCTCAGTGGATAGAGCATCAGCCTGCGGACTGAAGGGTCCCAGGTTCGATTCCGGTCGAGGGCATGTACCTTGCTTGCGGGCACATCCCCAGTAGGGGGTGCGCAAGAGGCAGCTGATCGATGCTTCTCTCTCATCGATGTTTCTAACTCTCTATCCCTCTCTCTTCCTCTCTGTAAAAAATCAATAAAATATATTTTTAAAGGGTATATATATATATATATATATATATATATATATATATATATAGATGGCATGTTAACATCCCTGTGAGCTCCAGGGCCGGAGAACCTGCCTTGTTCCCCATGCCACCCTCAGTGCCTGGGACAGCGCTTCCCACCTGGGATGAGGAAAGCATGAACGTCCTTCAGGGTTCATGCTTTCCTCATCCCAGGGCATGGCAGGGCGTGCCCTCCCTGAAAGAGTGTTTTAATCCCTGTGCTTAGAAACGAGCAGATCACAGCTTGGTGCAGGCCCACTCTACGCCGCCTCGTCCTGGCCGCCCAGAACTACGATGTCAGCTGTGAGAGCTGCTGTTCGGCGCCTCACGTCGTTTCTATCCACGTGTGCACCTGTTACGCCTTTTCCTCCACATGAACCCACGGCCCTTTTCCCATGGGATACACCACGCCTCCGGGGCCGGGCGGGAACACGGACAGCCTACGCGGGGTCCTAACATCACCACTCTGTGTGTTCCGTTTCCCCCATCTCCACCTCGCACGTGTTCCTGGAGAAATACTGTGTTTTCCCTTCCCCGTCTCATGACAGGGTCCTGACCACGTGCCCAGGCCACGCACAGGCCAGTGATCTCTTGAGAACCATGCAGCTCCCTCCCTCGGTCTGCCACTGAGGATGCCCTGTAACCCAGGTCCTCAAACGCTGCTTCTCTCTCCGTCTCTACAATCCACTCTCCGGTCTTTTCTGAGGCTCCAGCCCGACCGCCCGGGAAGGAGGCCCGGACCCCCACTTTGTTTTAGCCGTATCCTCACCGCACCTCTGCGGGCGGGTCAGCAGATGCGCTCCTCTGTGGCGTCCTCACCCCCGCTCTCTGCGTAACCAGAATCAGTGACCCCCTTATTCCACCCTGGCATCTGCCCCGACTGCCCTCTTAGGATGAATCCTGCAGCCTCCCGTGTCTGTGCGGCACCTCCCGTGTCTGCAGTGTGTTCAACGCCTTCTCTTCTCCTGGAGCGGGCCTTTGCGGAGCAGTGAAAGTGGGGGGGAGGCGGGTGTGGGAGGGGGGAAGGCTATGGCTGGTACCTTCCCTCACAGCCAGAGCTGGTGGCCCCACAGCTGTGCTGGTGCTTTGGAAGGGCAAGTGTACGTGCCAGTGTGGACTCTCAGTGTCTCCATGTTGCATCACCAGCCAGCTGGGAGCAGCTGTCCATGAGCCCCGCTCCGGAGCCCGGTCCCTGCGTTCGGAGCCCACTCATCCGCTCTCCCCTCTCTTACAGAGACGCCGCCCCACCCGGAGAGCCGCTGAGCAAGGGCAGCCGGCCCCGGGTGGCCTCCCGCTTCCCCAAGCTGTCCCGCAGCCAGCCCAGGGAGACGCGCAACGTGGAGCCCCAGAGCGGTGACCTCTGACCTCCGTGGACTCCCAGACTCAGCTTCCCTGCCGCGCTGCTGCCGCCCGGCCACCTGCCCCAGTCCGGCCACGGCAGCCGCACCTGCCACCTGGAGTGACGGCCACACGCACCGGTGCCCCTGAGAGCACACCTTCCCACCGGCCGCATGGCACCGATTAAACTGGTCAGACGTGGACACGTGGGCACTCTCCCGGGTCTGCCCAGCAGCCAGGCCTCCTTTCCTCCCTTCAGGGGCCGGCGGACAGGCCAGGCGGGCTTGGAGCCCCGGTTCCCTCAGAAGCTGCCTCTGGCTTTTCCTGCCGGGAGCAGTAATGACTGTTACTCCTCTTTCTCTAACTGCCTGCTGCCACCTATGGCCAGCGGGCGGGTTCCTTTCCATTTCACTCTCCCCAGTAGCTGTTAGACCGACGACCCCTTGTCAGCGCCCCGTGGCCAGCCTCTACGCTGCGGCCTCTCCCACAGGGACCCCGGGCCTGCGTGCGAAGGAGCCCGTGGGCAACGCTGAACTGTGGCTCCCAGGGCCTGGCTGCTGGGAGGAGCGGGCCCAGGAGACCCAAGGCCCTGATCCACAGGCACCTTCTCAGGTTCGGGGGACCTCACCCAGCCAGCCAGCCAGCCATCGGTGGCAACCTGGTGCCCCCACAGTGGAGATACCAGGGCTGCCCGGTGAGAGACGCGGCTCTCAGAGGCTCTGAGGCCCTCGGCCTACAGACCTGGCCCCGAGCTCTGTGGGCTGCCCCATGGCTCGTGTGAACTGGGACACGTGTCCACCTGGAACAGATCATGGTCATTCCCTAAGACAGACTCGAGGGCACCCTCTGCCCCCACGTGCTCGCAGGGGAGCAGGACCCTGTGCCTCTGGACGGATAAAGGGGAGAGCGTGGCCTCTCCCGGCTTCCCCCAGCGCTCCCCCTCAGACCTCCGGGGCCAGGGCGCCGGCTGCACACAGCCATGGACGTGCCTCTCCCCTGGGCACGGCACTGGGATGCGGAGGCCGCATTTCTGGGAGACACTAGGAAGCAGAGGTGAGGCTGTGACAGTGCACGGGGATGAGGGAAACCGAGGATGGATCATAGGGAACCGGATGGCGACATGTGAAGGACGGCAGTGGAGCTAACCACCTCCGCGTCCCAGAGCCCTCAGCTCCACCCAGACTGTGGCCCAGGTGGGCTGTCCCCAGAGGAAACCCTGTGCAAGCATTCCGGGCGCCACCGTGGACAGGAGAGCCACCTCCTGTTACAGCCCACACAGCCACAGGCCTGAGGCCCTTCTGAGGGGACAGCCAGCGGGGCCGAGGGCCTGCTGTTCTCGGGCTGCGGCAGAGTGAGTGGCAGGGACCCTGTGGTCAGCTCGGGATGAGAGGACCCGAGAGACGCTGTGTCCAGAGAGGCAGCATCTCCTTCCTTTGTTTCAACTCCCAGCCCCCTGCGCCCCGGCCGCTGCGCTGCTGGGATAGCCACCCTCCGAAATGGGCAGGATGCCTCGCTCCCTCCGCCCCGCACCCCACTGTCTGCTCCACCTCCGTCCTCGTGACGCAGCCGAGAGACCATCCAGCACTGCCGTCCGGACAGCGGGGCCTGCTCCCGACATCTCTCCTCCTGGTCGTGTTAGATACAGAACGGAGCGCCCACCTCAGCGGCCTTTGCCAGCGCCTGCCCCGAAACACGTCCAGTGTGAACCTCCAGGAGCCTGCTCGGACAGCCAGGCGGACAGGTTGCTCAGCGGGAGAAAGTCCCTCTCAGCCTGTATTCACACAGGAGGAACCTGCCTCCCATCTTCCGAAGCGGAATCATTCGTGGAAAACGCGCCCCGCTCCCCCACTGGTTGTAAAAGCACATTCCTGGGGCTGCTTGCTCTTTGCACCCTGTTTTGTGATCATGCAGAAAGCCTGAAGTCACCTTTCACGTACAGACCACCCCTAGTTTTAGCTCAGATATGCATGTGACATGCGCATCACAGCAACTCCTCAAAGCCTTAACTTTGGAAACATGGAACGTTCTACAGTGATTCAGTCCATTCGGCTGCTCAACAGACCCTGCCCCTGCTGTGCGTGTGGGAGGAGGGGCTTCCTGTTCCCAGAGCAGGACAGACCCTGGGCCCGGCCAGGTGCACAGATGCCTGCCCCTCGGGACTACTTCTGCCCTTCAACCTGGGTCCAGTCCTGAGGGCCGGCCGCCGGCCTCCCTGCACAGCCCTCAGCCCCATGACCATCGTGGAAAGGACAGCCCGCAGTGGGCTCAGCCTGGCGGCTCCAGCGTAGCATCCATCCCCGGCACATGGCTCCCGTGAGGAGCAGGCAGCGCGCCGAGCCGCAGTGAGAACGGCCCAGCATTTGTCCAGTCGGGCCCTGGGGGAGGAGGCGGCTCTCCTTTAATGCCCAACAGCTGGGCACATTGGGGTCACCCGATTGAGTGGTGAAGACAAGATATCATCGTGTGAAACCTAGCAGGAGGTGCTACCAGCGAGAGCAGGGGGTATGGGCGTGACCTAATCACTGCACTCGGCTCTGCCCGGCTGGGAGCTTATTAAGACGAGTCCTTCATAACCACCGGAACTTACCAGGGAGGCAGGTTGTGTGTTGTGCCTATAACACGACAGAGGCAATCAACACTGTTCACATCGTAGGATCGATAACACCGTTGTCACCGATGTGAGAGGACACAGGTGCACTGCCCGCCCACCCGCCAGCCAGGTGACGAGACGAAGCACTGCCTGCTTCCCAGCACCGGCTGTGGCTGGCCAGCTGGTGGCCTCCTTTCTCTCTTGGTATCACATGAGGAAGTTTGCCCACCTGAGCACGGGGCCACAGGTCCCAGGCCTCAGCCCACCCCACCTGCTTGTGAGAGCAGTCCAGAGGTGCCCGCTGCCCCTCACCTGGGGTCAGGCCTGTTCTCTGGGTCCCAGCAGGGCTTGCTAACCAGTCCCTCTTCCTTCCTTCTGGTTCCTCTGCACCAGCCCAGCGTCCTCACCCTGGCACTCACCCCGGCTCACCTTGGCAGCGTGTAACTGACTGTAAAGAACAGGCTGGCTTTCAGCCTTGCCCTGAGGATGGGCGGGCCCACCTGCCTGAGAAGGGCCCTGTCAGGGCCCCACCTGCCAGCACAGCCCGGCTAAGGCATATCCTGGATGGGCACCCCCCTGTCCGGACCTCTCCCTGGCGGTTCCTTTGGGGCGTGGTGCATGCTAGATGGCTCCCCAGCCTGCAGGCCGGGCCTGGCAGAGGCCTTCCCCGGGCAGCGTCTGCTTCTGAGCAAGGGGTTCGCAGCAATCATGTTTCAAACATTGTGCATTGTTTCATTAAAGCTAACATTAAATATTTGCTGTTCGGATTAGCTTCTGTGCTATTTTTGCACAATTGTAGCACTGTATATTTTATCTGATTTCTGTGCCAAAAGTTTGTTTTCATGTCCCTGTAGCACCCGGTCTTGATTATGTTTCTAAGCTAAAACGTCAGCTCCGGGATCGACAGGCATGAGGGTGGAGACCAACCAGCCCGACTCTGGAACCCCCTGCTCAACCCACAGTTCTCCTGTTTCCGCCAGGACACTGCCAGTGAACTCTCCTGACTTCAGTCACATAGCCCCAAGGCCATGCGGAGTGGCTTCCCGCTGACCCAGTCAGCTTTAGGAAAAAAACCGATTTCTTTCAACGGTGCCTGGACAACCATCCACGGTAGAGCATGCTGGAGTTGTTAGCATTTCGATGTCCAGGGGTCAGTTCTACGGCCCGTGAACATGTTTCCATGGAAACTGGAAAGCCACTAGCGGACCTGTCCAGGCTGCCAACCTGCCCACGAGTCTGCTCAGGCCACCTCTGGCCACGTGAGCTGTGGAGGGAGAGGCCACGTTCACCCTGATGATTTCTTCCACCCAGAGACCAGACAGGAGGTGCCACTGCAGAGACGGGGCTGGGACGCGGGAGGAGAGCAGAGTGCTGACCACTCGGACATGAGCCCGGGGACCCGGCTTTCCGGGAGTGAGGGGCGGAGCTGACTAGGGCTTCTCTGGATTCATCCCGACCATCTTCACCTCTGCAGCCTACGCTCCACCCCTTGCACAGCTGCTCAGTAAGCGCTGCTTGACTCATCAGATACTGACTTCAGGGAGGAGGGGCTGTGGGTCAGGAGCCACGTCCACCGTGAGAGGCCTCAGCCTGGCGCAGTCCCCTCGGCTGGGCCCCGGGTGGTGGTCAGGGCTAATGTGGCCACGATGTGGAGTCCGGGCTACAGCCTGTGCCCCAGGCCGGACGTGGGCCGGGTCGCTCTGAAACGTGTAGTATTATCGTAACTGCCCTGTTATGTTAAGGTTTACATGATAGAATTTTTAAACAAATGTGTTTAATTTTCTAAAATCTCTTGTATTACAATTTTCTTTTGGAATAAGCTGTGGAAATTTTGTTACAATCTGGAGGAGATCCACCTCTTTCCAATGGCAAATAAAAATGGTGACATTTTATACATTAAGCACTCAGCCATGGCCTCTGTCTCTTCGCCTCCTTCCCTTCCTGCAGCGCGAGGGGAGGGGCTTGTGTGTTTTAAACAAACACCTCTGGAAGCCACTCACCAGGTGACCCGATGCCCGGGGGACAGGATTTGACGGGGATGAACACAGTTCAATTTGAAGTGAAGCAAAGTTTCACGTGATGCATTAGGCAGAGCTGTCCAAGCTGGACAGAGAAATACTAGTAAATCCACAGAGAAAAACCCTCATTACAGGTTCCTTCTCACTCCAAAACAGGCAGTCATTGGGCACCGACTGTATACCAGGCATCGTACCAGCACTGGGCACGCGGCAGTGACCAAGACAGAAAAGACGCCTGCCGTCTGTGGACTCGCCTAGGACAAGAAGATGATTTCCCCCCAAAATGTCAGCCATCCAGACCATCACGGACCGCAGGCAGTGCCAGGAAGGGCTCCAGTGAGCGGGATGGGCAGGAAGAATGGGGCCGAGGCGGTCTCACCCTCAGCCATGGGGACGCGCGGGCGGGGCACCTGCCGCCAGTGCTGTGCACTGAGGGGCGGGGTCACAGCATCCCTGGCCGCCTGCCACTAGCTGAAGCCAGAAATGGCTCCAGAGAGGCCACAGGTTCCCCCATGAGGTGGTCCCCAGTGAAGACGCGTTGGCAGAAGTGACTGACAGTTAAGCTGTGACCTGCAGAATGAAAAAGAAATGCTACACCCTCCCTCCACCCCCTACCCTCCCAAAAAATGACCTTGGCTTAAAAATTCATACTGAACAGCAAGGGTCTTAACTTTTTAACCTAATTATGGGAACTGAGGAGAAGAAACAGATTCTCAGCTGAGAGCCCAGGTGTGAGGCAGTCTAATACCACCGAACCCGGCAGGGTCTGACCAGGGCGTCATGGAGGGGGTCGGCACAGGCCCGAGCCCAGCCTGCCGCGGGGCAAACGCTGCGTTTAGGGGTGTGGGTATGGCCTGCCTCCCGTTTACCTAACCCCAGGCCACCGCTGAGAAGCAGGCCCTTGCTCTGTGCTTGAGCAGACGAGGGAACTGCGCACCGATGTGTCACAATAGAGTGTGACAGCCGATTGTCTGGACAGCCTATTCTGTCCATCCCCCCCTCCCGCCTGGGTCCACCCCCTCAGCTTTCCTCGTGGAGCCTCAGCTCCCACACAGCTTTCCCCACTCCGGGGACCTGCTCCCCAAGCTCTCCCAGGTATAAACTGTCTTCTTGTC